TATAACCCTTGACATGGGTGGTCGCATCATTGGTGATGCTTGCGTGCACAGGAGTCCCACTCTTATCATTCTTAAAGCTTCAGTTTCATCAAACTCCACTAGGGTTGGATCCACCAGACCTAGACTTTGGTTGCTTTCATAGAGAGTCCATGCCTACAAACATTGTATAAGTAAATCTCATGTACAAGGAATATGTCTATAAAGAAGGAAAAAAGAACAGAGTTTCTTTCTCTACCCATTCAAGAAGATAGATCTCGTCATTGTCCTGTCTATTGTCAGAGTTTGGTCTTCCACTGACAATTTCCAAAGCAACAACACCAAAGCTGAAAACATCTGCCTTCTCAGTGAGGTGGCCACGCATTGCATACTCTGGTGCCAAATAGCCACTGCCAATATTGCAATTAAGCCATTAAATTTGCATGTTCAGGGTTTATTGAGATGATTTCTCTATATATGATACTAAGTCTCTGGATTCCGTTGATGGTTTGATGCTATGAAACCCAATAACATAGATGAGCTACAATATAATGTAAATAAGCATTTAGATGCTCTTTTGACATGGTGATTCAAGGAGCTTACATAGTTCCTGCAACCTGGGTGCTGATGTGAGTTTTCTTGTCATCATATAGCTTTGCCAATCCAAAGTCAGATATTTTCGGACACAGCTCAGCATCAAGCAAAATGTTACTTGCCTTTACATCTCTGTGTATGATCCTCGGCCTTGATTCCTCATGAAGATAAGCTAGTCCCCTAGCAGTTGCCAGGCAGATTCTAAAGCGGGTTGGCCAATCAAGATGCAAGTCTTTATTTCCTGCATATGTGAGGCAGGAAATGTTACAGAGAGCAATTAATTTGGTGAAAAAATGAATCCAAATGCAAAGGCTAAAAGGAGCAAATAACTAGTTCAGTCATACCAAAGAGTGCTTGGTCTAGACTTTTGTTCTCAAGATACTCATAAACAAGGAGGCGTCTGTTTCCTTCAATGCAGCACCCATACAGTTTAACAAGGTTGCGATGTTGCACCACAGATATGGTGGCAATCTCAGTAACAAACTGACTCTTCCCTTGGTAAGATGCTACTGAAAGCCGCTTCACAGCTACAATCCGCCCATCAGAAAGGTTACCCTATAATGTATTTAAAGTGATTCATTTAGAAACCTTGTCATATAAATCTTCTATCTCATTAAAAACAGATTTCTGATTTTAAGCCAATAGCTTACCTTGTATACCGGACCAAATCCCCCTTCTCCTAACTTATTTGAGGGACTGAACTCATCTGTTGCAGCTCTCAACTCAGCATAACTGAAGGTGTTTGGTCTGGGTCCGATTCCAACAAGCTCTGCAAATTTCAAGAAAAGAGTTGGAATAAAATCCACTGATGAAATAGGAGTTAATTATATAATGTTGAAATTTTACAAACACTGGTCCTAGGATTCGGCATCTCAAGTTTAAAAGCCATGGGCCATTATATAATTTCTATTTCCTTCTTCTTCTTCTTCTTCTTTTGTCCTTTTCATATATTAATCATAAAATTGATGAGTAAATAAAAATAAGAGCAGAGTCTATACTAGAAGCCTCAAGATATATTATAAATGGGAGAACAAAACAAGAAATCAACAACTCATAATAGTCAAGTTTACTTCCCATATATAAAATTTGTTCTTTGAGCACTAGGAATACTGGTCCCATGTGAATGCATCACCACAAGATAGAGCAACAAAATTGTCAAAGAAGTTGAAAAAATAAAAAAAATCAGTTTCTCTCTGCATCAAGGGAGATCAATCCTCTTAACTATTATAATATCTCTTCCTTTAAAAACACATCTGTCCACCCTTGTAATAAAGAAGAAAATAATTGCCTAAAGATCATTAAGAACTTAACATAGAACTCGGTTTGGGGAGCCTAGAACTTCACTCAGCAGCAATGAGGCCAGATCCACCATGGTATAGTAACATGAATCAGTTTTACAAATAATATCATGACTAACCAATGACCTATTGGTCCGAGTGCACGGAACATGGTTTTCCTCAAGCAAAGTCTCAAGTTCAAATTTTGTAAATGGAGAAACAGGTGCTAAGAGAACTTCCCCCCTTATAGGGTCTGACTTGACTCCGAATTAGTTGAGATCCAATGTGGCTTCCGGTTACTTGGGGGGTTTATTACCAAAAACCGAAATAATATCATAACTAATTAACTACTACTATTGCACTTTTTAGGACTCTTACCTTTCTCATCATCATCTTTTTTCCTTCTCATGTAGAAGACTACAAATATCAATATCAATGTGAAGGTGACAACTCCCACAGGAACTGCAACACCAACAATCAACCCAGTCCTATTCTCGTTTGCCGTACGTGGGTCAATCCAACTTATATTTGGTGTGAAATCTGATCAACAGGTTTTAGGCATTAGCAGTGGCAAACAGAGATAGACATGACTTAAGACTTTAAACAAAGATTCTTATGTCATCTCATTCTTACTTGATACCACGCTGATTGCTGAAATGGATGGTCCATAGGAACCTGGTTGTGGTATGCAGCAAGTTCCCTTACCAGCCCAAAATAGGTGAATTTCAAGATGGTTCTCTGATACAGTAGCAATGAAATTCTTAGTGATTGCTCTGTTAACCCCACCTGCCTCATTTGATATGTCAAAATCCTTCAATACAATGGTTCCCTGGGAACAATTGATTATGATTAAAATCTGAAACTGTAAAACTTAAGTTTAAAAATTTGAACTTAGAAACATTTGCTACATTCAGGACTTGAATAAAATCATCCATAAATGCAATCTGGAAAATGGTTTACAATTCTTATGGAAATTTTACCTGAATATAAATATCAAAAACTCGCCTTCTCAGACTCTCCCAAGTATGGTTGCTTTGATCTCTGAGAGCTGTTTCCGCAAAAAGCAAGTTAACTGTATAAGGCCCATTCTCTAGGCCTAAGCCATGGTATCTGAGTGATCCAGCAGATATCCTTGAAGTCTGATAAAGTTCTGGTGAGTTTGTGTTTCTCACTGGTTCCAAGCTACTTTGCTTATTGGCTGCAACAACTACATCAGTAATCGAACCCACATTGCTAACTGCCCATTTCTCGGTATCAATTACATTAAATGATGCCATGCCAAGAGAAGAGGTTTCGGCCTCATATCTTATCCCATCAGCAAACACCACCGGGCCACCACAATTGATTGCAAAGTTTGCATCTGCCAACATCAAATATTTGAATATGCTTGGCAAGTTACTCAAGAACAATAATTATAATTCCAGCAACAGAAATTAATACCCAGTAGGTTACTGAAGCTCTCATTTTATAACAGATTAAAAACAGCAAGTAAATTGTGATTCCTTTCAAGTTCTAGCAGGATGAACTTAATGTCTTTTTACAATTGCCATTGATGCATGCATATTTCAATTGGCCAAGCTCAGAATGATTGATACTAGAAGAGTAGGAATGGATAATTTGTCACTAAGAGTCTAAGAACACTCTAAAATACAATTCTCTATGCATTTTCCCCTCTACTTGAGGTTTCTTTCTGTGATTACAGCATAACGCCAAATGTAAGCTATCTCAAGGCAACGCAGCAAAAGAAGCTTACAGCGTGGAGAGCTCCTGCTGCACGGGAAGCTTCTTTGAAGGCAATTCAACCCTAGAAAAAGACTGAAAATAAATAAAATAGTTATTTCTTATTAGTGCTATAAATTATAAAAGAATGCCTTCCATTGTGGAAAAAATTGATACCAATTTTCTTATGCCTTTAGATTAAGGTGGATAGAAGAGTGACACTCAGACAAGTAAAACTCAGACAGATATTTAAGAACTACAACTCACCTAACGTTTGACTTGTCAAATGTGAAGTTGTTGGCTACTAGATTCCTACATGATACAAAGCAACAACACAAATGAATATCTGTCATAGCAGTTGTAACAATCCAAACATTCATGAATTTAAAGTGACAGACACTTTTTCTAGAAATGATATACATAGGTGTGTACTACATTACCATCATGGTTCTTGATAACCAAAAAGACTTCCAGAGGACTTTTAGTTGAGCATTGGAATTTTGGTCATTAGTGCAAGTTAGGTACCAAAATGAGGATAAAACTACGTCACTGGCTCTAACAAGGATTTAATGGAGATAGTTGTGGTAGATCTTCAACTTTTTCTTTCATTCATATTGCATTAATAATATGACATCAATTAAAAAAAAAAAAGCTCAAGCTACTTACAATGGTTCGATTGTGCGCACCCATGGAGGAAAACTTCCAGACAGAAAATTATAAGATAAATCTCTGCATGAGAAAGTAGTTAAGTACAATAGCAGAAAGTTAGCAGCAGTTATTGATTCAAATCAAGAGAATGCTCAGAATGTTATGGCTTACATATTCATTAGGTTTTCACTCTTTTGGATAGGGATGGTACCAGACAGACTATTATTTCCAAGAATCCTGGACATTGACAGAATATAATACATTCAATTTTTTTTTTTTTTTTATGGTCAATACCATCAGGTTAATCGCATTAGCTTGACCAGAAAAACTAAGGATGTAATTGACATAAATCAAGATTTTGAAGCATCGTCTATGACTTTACAAGTATTTAAGAGAACTTATGGTGAACAAAGCACTCGGAATTTGGCCTGTCAAGTTATTGAAACTCAAATCCCTGGTAAAGAAAGAGGAATTAAATTAATATAGGAAATGGAAGCAAATTTCATAGACAACAGTCGATCAGGCAAAGTGTGAACAATTCTTACAGATTTTGTAAATGTTGGAGTTCTCCAATATCAGATGGAATACTACCAGTAATTAATGCATTTCTTAAAATTCTACAGGAAAAATAAGAACAAAAAAAGGAGAGTAAAGTTTGTTAGTCAATTAACTAATAAAACAAACACAACAAAGACAAACAAAGATACAGGTTTCTGTACATGATTAGAAAGTTTTTACTTACAAGCTAGTTAATTTCTTTAAATTTCTAATGAAATCAAGAGAAGAGCTCACATTGGATAGACCAATGATTCGCCTGCATGATTATAGATAAGAATTGAAGAAGTTAGCCATTATACATACTTTCAGAATCATGCAAGCAGAGAGAGTATAAATGGTAAGTGGATAATTACTTACAGAGATTCTAGAGAGGTTAATTTAGGAAAACTGGATGGTATAGGACCTTCAAAGTAGTTCCCTTCAAGTCTCCTACAGAAATATTTCACAGGCTAATCAAGAAAGAACAAACTAGATATATCTCACTGTTGAAGAAATGAGGCAAAACTAATTAAAAAAGAATGGCTTTAAAAATTGAAAAAGAATTAATTGTAACTTACAATAATTTAAGGTTTGCCCAGTTGCCAATGAAATCAGGTATCTTCCCTGTGAAAGGATTGTCTGATAAACACCTAAAATCCAAAAAGCTCTCTATTAACGATAGGGTAAGAGAAGATGATTTTGAGATTCTCTAGAAACATAAGCAGACAAATAAATACAGCTTATGATCCCAGGGACCTTCTTACATTGCTTGCATGTTTAGAAGGTTAGCAAATGTTGAGGGAATTTCACCACCAACTCCACAGCTGTCAATGTAACTATACATTCATAAACCAAAACTGTTTAGTCTCCAGTGATATGCTTGTTACTGCACAAACTTATTGAGCTACAAAGAACTAGAAGAAAGTTATAACTCACAAACGTTCAAGTTTGACTAAATTGCCAAGTTCCAGTGGGAGTGTTGCAGAGAAATTATTAAAACTAAAGGCTCTGCATGAAAGAATTCAAATAAAATATTTTTATGGAGAAAGAGAAACCATTAAAATTGACATGGGGTTATGTTTAAACCAATCACAGGGATTGCAATTCTCAATATCGAAATTAAGTGAAGATTAAAAGTCTTTCGAGAGATTTTGCTGGTCTCTCAACTCTCAAAAGGAGGAATGTTGTGAGGGTTTCATGTGAAATTTAATCAACATAAAATGTCCCAAGCTTTTCAGAAGAGCCACACAGACTCTGTCTCCATCAGTGCCATAAATCTACTAGTGACTTGACTACCATATTGCATCCCTACTTCACATCATACATAAAACAATATGAGTACCTCAGGACCTCTTGTAAACCATTTATAAGAAGATTATATTAAAATCACAAAAAGACACAAATCACTCAAATTATCTACAATCCCCTGCATTTCTATCAAAGGTAGTTGAAACCGATACCCATTTTGAATACCTGAAGTTATTTATCATCCCTTCTGAAATTCATCAATTCAATGCATATCAGAATTCAGAAGTATTGTTATTATTGTGAAATGATGTTACATCAACTAGTAGGCACTGCCATATCAACAATTAATTTTACATATTAGAGTTGTGGCTGTCTCCCCTTCCCGTTCCACCATCAACCCTCAAAAACAAATTCTCTCCAGACCTTTCAGATCCTCTCAACATAATATTGAATTCATTTTTCATTTTATAAGAAAGGCACTTTCATAATAATGAAGAACCAAACTTGTGCATAATGCAACTTAAGAGGCTACATGTTTGTGGTAGAACAGAACCATTTGATGCATTACAATGGCAGATAAAAAAGAATTAAAATAAAATTGATGCATTATGATGACAAAGTAAAATTTCTTCAAGTCTTACAGATAAGTTAGCTCCTTAAGATTTCCAAGCTCCTTAGGAATGGGCCCAGAGAATGCATTGAAGGCAACAGACCTTGATACAAAAAACATAATCCACAAAATTACTAGTGGCTTCTCAAATAAGAATTAGTAAAAATAACACACCAAAATCAATGAGTTATACCTACGGAATAGGCATGATCACCACAATCAGAAAATAAGTGAGATGCATTGATGGTAATCAGTGTAAATGATGGTTTTTAATACTGGCATATAAAATGAGACACTGAAGTAAATACAAAGTGCTTCACTTCACAGAGTTGAAGATCTTTAGCACTTCAATGATTTAGCTTCATAATGAAGGGTCAATGCCTCTTTTTATAAAGAAAGTAAGATGTAATTAGCAGGCTGATACATGTATTCTAGACAGCAGAGACATTTCTGGAACCAAAAGTCAGAAAAACTAGGCATGAAAATTTCAAAAGTTTTTGACAAATGCTATTTATTAAAGTAAAATAAAATACTTTCATAAGACCATCATAATCCATGCTTACAAGTACTGCAATGTAGATAAATTGCCAATCCATGCCGGCAAGGTACCGGTGACGTAATTTTGCCCGAGGTCCCTGCATCATCAAACAATGAACAATTCAGTACTCTTAAAAACTCTCCAGGAAAATGATAAAATATCAGTTTGTACGATCAAAAGAAAAGAGAAACCATACAGAACGGTTAAGAATTTGAAAGCCAAAAGCTGCTCCGGCATCACCCCTCGTACGTTCAGTGAAACCACTTTCCTGGGAAAATGAACAAACAGTTAAGAGTGCAATTCCGCAACCGATCAAAAGTTCGAAACAGAACTGAATGCGTTCGCCAGAGCAGCAAGAAACGGAGAGAGTACAGTCTGGTGATGTGGCAGGTAGTAGCACTGTTGAAGGAGCAATCACATGCGATGGCCGGATTGTTGAAATCGTATAGGCTCAGAGCAGTTCCGTTGCATGGGTCGCCGCTGATATTCCAGGAATTCTGCGGTGCCTGTATTTCCCATTGTTGGAAGATTGAGTTCAATGCACTCACTGCATCACAAATCGAGAAACGTCAAAATGCTTCTGGTACTTTCCAGGTTTTAGAGGAAGCTGATCTAATTTTGTTGCTTACTTTACGCGGGCTCAGATTCGTACCCATGAGGAATTGCTTTTTGGGCCTTTTACAAGCAGAGGCCACTGCAATAGTGGGCCTCACGGAATCACATGGGCTCAATGATTTTAAAACTCCTGAATCTCGTAAGACAGACAGACAGAACAACTCTTTTCTTTATTTTTTGATTTTAGATTTTGCACGTTGGAAAGATACAGCTTTCTAACCTCTTAACTCCTCTCATGTGCGCATGCGATGCAAATTAAACAAACAAAAGTAAATCTTACACGCATGGACACTTATAAATGATCAAAGTGTTAAATTTTCAACATGATTAATAGATTTCTTGTAGATGTACCTA